GACCAAGGAAGTTGTGGCTATGCACATATCCATCAGGCTAGGGAATAGGATGGTAGGTATGTATATATGGAAATGTAGCCTTATAATTTCACATTTTCCAAGTCTTTAGTGTCCTGTTGCTTCTAATGCAGGTATCAAAAGCTAAGTGCTAGTAAGGTCCAGTGTAAATTAAATTGCAATTTATCTCTGGGTGTTTTTCAAGAGTGTGCTGTTGCATTATGGATGAATCAGCGAGCTGCTTTTCTTGGCTCATGAAATTTGTACCTGAAAATTCTTTTACTGCTGTAACGTACAATTGTTACATATTGCCTTAGTTATCTTGCAGTTGCTAATGTTTTGTAAGTTGTTAAAGATATTATATCTTATCTATATAGTAAAAAGCAAAGACTAAAATATGGGAACCCCATTCTTCAGTTATATAAATGTATTTACATATTTAACCTTCAAATAATCAAATAAATGATGATATTACAATCAATTAAAAATCAGTGAATTTAAATTGTATAATTAAAAATATAATTCCTTGAGTGTTTAGTGTAGTCACTGCATACAGGAATTCTCCCAAGAAAGTGGGCATAGGATTGCAAAGGGATTTAACTTTGGTTGGTTCATTTTATAATTTACATAATTAATTTTGGATATGCCATGGAAATGGGCTCTGACTTCATATATAACAATGTAACTAAATTATGTTCATTTTATATTAATCTATTATTGTGTTTTTGTTTCCATTAAGATACATCCGGTGCTGACCAGTAATGGGTTGGCAAAAAAAGAATAGTATTTTTTTTTTTGTAATAATCCACATAAACTGAACTGATTTCAGTGAATGTGTTAATATGTTTACAAACTGGTTATGATGGTAACATTAAAGATTCCAATTATATCTGTATTAAAAGATCAAGAACATCCGTTTTCTCAGTAGTTTAATATAATAAATCATCATAGGGAAACAAATTCAATCTGAAACAAGCAACATTCTTACAAACAGTTTGATGTATCAAGTATTATGAGTTATGCCTAGGTGGGCATTTCTCATAGCCACAAATAGGTTAGATCTCCAAAGTCCTGTTGAGATAGAGTCATCTTAAGTGCTGTATTCATTCACTCATCCATCCATCCATCCATCCATCCATCCATCCATCCATCCACCCATCTCTATTCTCCATTCCTCCAAGAGTTTAAGAGAACTCATATATTCTTATCTCATCATTTTATTCTCACAACAACTTTGCAAATTAGGCTAGGTAGCAAGTCATTCAGCATTCCATCACTTACTGAGCACTTGTGGAATGAGAGTTTCAACTTGGGTTTTCCCATTACCACGTTAACCACCATATCATGTCATTTCTTACATCACAAGGCATTTAGGTTCCACAGAGATTTGAATCCACATTGTATTTCCTCTTCTGCTACATTGGTGGCATGAAAGACATACCACGTATAACACAAGAAGCCCAGGAAACTGTACCACATTGCTTCTCCATAGCACTCAGAGTCATGGGAACTGAGACAAAGATGGGGAGGTTTGCAGGTATAGAGTGTTCCTATGTGGTTTGCAGATTCTCACATTATTTTTGGAAGACAGGGAAAAATAATTATAATCAACAATATCCTCCCTTTCTTTCAGGAAAGGCAGCAAACATATGATCCTCAAGCCACATGCAGAATGGAAGAAGTTCGGCATTGATTTGGTTGTGTTCAGTAGCTTGGTTGTGATGCAAGCAGTTCTGTGTGTATGCTGGAAATTCTGCACTCACACAGAATTGGCCGATTGCATTAGGAATATAGACATGTTTACTTTTTAACAGCTTTTACATTTACATGTAACACTAGACAATGGTGGAGTCCTTGGGGTTCTCTGAGCTTGGTTCTTTTCTTGCAAACGTTTCATTACCCGATATGCTAATCAAAGAACTACCAGAGGCTTGGTTCTTTTCTTGCAAACGTTTCATTACCCGATATGCTAATCAAAGAACTACCAGAGGCTTGGTTCTTTTCTTGCAAACGTTTCATTATCCAGCTAGGTAACATCTTCAGTGCTAAAATGGGATGGAGTTTGCTCTCTATTTATGTGTTGTGGCCTGCCTTTCCAGTGCTGGTAGGGGTGGGGGTTTCATTTTGATCCTCTGGTAGTTCTTTGATTAGCATATCGAGTAATGAAACGTTTGCAAGAAAAGAACCCAGCTCAGAGAACCCCAAGAATGCCACAGTTCAATCCTGAGCTACACATATTCACCTCAGAGATCTCCGTCTGATGTGGAAATTGATTGTTTCTCTCTGGAACCCTGGCACAGTTGTGCCACCCATGGAGCTACTAATAGAGGCAAATATATGTAGCTCAGGGTTGAACTGTGGAGTCCTCAGGGTTCTCTGAGCTTGGTTCTTTTCTTGCAAGCGTTTCATTACCTGGCTAGGTAACATCTTCAGTGCTAAAATGGGATGGAGTTTGCTCTCTATTTATGTGCTGTGGCCTGCCTTGCCAGTGCCCTCTATTAGTAGCTCCATGGGTGGCACAACTGTGCCAGGGTTCCAGAGAGAAACAATCAATTTCCACATCAGACGGAGATTCTCTATTTATGTGCTGTGGCCTGCCTTGCCAGTGCTGGTGGGGGTGGGGTTTTTGTTTTGCTCCCCTGGTAGTTCTTTGATTGGCATAGGTTTGCTGCTTGACTGTGTGCCTGGTGGTAACCTTTTCTTATCTGGGTGATGATTGCTGGTGACTGATTGCTGGTGAGGCGATCTTCTGGTCTTTTGTCTTTTTTTTGAATAGTACATACAAATCGTTTTTTGAATAGTACATACAAAGACCAGAAGATCGCGTCAGGATTTTTATTTGTTTTTATAAACATAGCCTCATAAAAGGCAATGACCCTCTACTTACAGAATGGATTAAATAATGACTTTTTGGGCTAGAAGAAAGAAGAGGGAAACATATAGGCTTCTCATTCCTAAATATAATTACCAGTTTCCAGTCTCCCAAGTCACAACTTCCTTATATATCTGTGCCAGACAGTATTTCTTGATGATTGCTTAGATCTAAACTGTGGAAATAGAAAGCTGTTACCACCATGTTCAGTGGATCTTCCTCTTTAGGACATATGCTTATGATGTAGCCCAAAGGTTGAATCATCAAAGAGAGAAGGTCTTGTCAGGGAGTGGGAGAAAAGGATGAAAACGTTGCATCGTGAAACAAAAGAAAGATGGGTGATTTCAGAGTTTGAAGATGGGGCATGTAAAATGAGGGAGGAAATAGTTGCGGAGGGTTCTTGAAATGCAGTATGAAGATTAATGGAGGAGGGTGTGGACCAGATGTGAGTATTGTAGAAGAAGAGGAAGAACGCACCAGTTCTTTGGCCAGTGGTCAGGAAACCACCACCAGAGTAATAATTTGAAAAAGAAGGCAATGTGTAAAACAGTGTATTTTGACAGACCTGAAATTTTTTTGGGGGGGAAAACCACCATGGAAAGAATCATATGCAAAAAAGGAAATGTGCCAAAAACAAGATAAAGAACTCACTTCCTCAGAGTCTGGATTTTTTTCAGCTTATTGTGAGCTAATAATGCAGATGTTGTATTCGTATATAGAAAAACAAAGGGCTTAAGAGTACTGCATAAAAGGCTATATTACACAATACATACTATTCATTTTCCCCTTCCAACTACTCCGCCTAAAACCCACTTTAACTATCAACAAGTCTACAGGGTTTGCTGGTTCCATTTGACTACTACGTGTTATGCTATGTAACAAATAGGATGACTGTTAATTTTATATAAATACACACAGATGTATGCACGCACACTTGCATACTACTGGACATATGTATTTATATCCTCACCTGAAAACCAATGTTTTTCAGTGTTTGATATTTTAATTAAAGCCCTCCATTTTATTTTAATCAAAGATAATATTCACAATTAGTATGCTAAAAGGCACAAATTATCATCCACGTTTTGGTAAAAATAACTAAAATTAATGGTTTGAGAGGAAAGAGCTGTCTATTTCCTGAACAATCTACTATTTCCTCCAAAATTCATGTTTATTGGATTTTGTATCACACACAGATACAAGCCAGGTATGCAGTTCAGTTAATGTACGAATGTATATCAGATGGTTAAGTTTTATCCCCCAAATGTGAGAGCTGGACAGAAAGGCTTGATGCACATAGGCTAAAATATCAACAATTGATTTTTTTCCCCCTGTTAATTACTGCAGGCAAGTTTAATATACTGTACATTCTGCATGTGAAAGAAACAGATTGTAAGTCTGTCTGCATATAAGCCTTACTGTTGGATGTGTATCATCATCTTAATATTACTTAAGGAAAAATGCATAAAAAGAATTCAGTTGCTAAGTTATTACCAGCTGTGCTTTTGTCCATATGCAAAACTTTTATTACTGTGTTTGAGAATTAGCCTGCTTCCTTCTTTTTCTGAGTTCTGTTACCAGTCCAGGGAATGGAAACAGAAAATAAAAGTCATGTGATAGGGCCAGTAAGGTAATACTCTCTATCCACAGTTCTTTGCCTCACTTGCAATGTCTCTGTTTCCCTGAGCACAACAACGCCTTTACTATATTTTATTTTTGTAGTGTATACAAATATCAGCCACCATATGGCAGCCCAGCAAGACGAAAAAGCATGCGATGCGATGCAGTGCAATGCAATCGTCGCTATGCCTACTTTGAAGTAAGCCCACTGAGTCTAGCGGGACGTCCTACCAAATAAGCATGTATAACATTGTAGCTTAGGAAATAGTAGGAAAGGGAAGCTGAAGCTAGCCTTTGCCAACCCATTCAGCTGTAATGAAGATTTATGGACTGCATTTTTATGCCCAGTCCAGCATTTACTGGGCATTTGTTAGCTATTAGTTTATATTTTTCAAGCAGTTAGCCTTGTGTACTTAGCTTCTGCTGTAGAGGAACCAAAGGATCAGGAAATGTGCATGAAAGATTGGCCTCATCTTGATTCTCTTCATGCTAATGAGAATTCAACTGATAACTTCTCGAAAGCAGGCTAATTAGCAGGCCCTGCACAATTCAGCACACTGCATTTTGTATCATATTTGACATATGTACCAGTAGTATATTCTCTCCACATGGAGAGAACCATGGGGATTCTCCTGTGACCTTTTTCTGTGCTTGTAACAGTCTAATTGGTTGCTTGTCCTTGTGGTTGCAGATTGATCTCCGAGCCACCGATGTCCAGCTAATGCGGCAACTCCTCCTCATCAATGAAAGCATCGAATCCATCAAGTGGATGATTGAAGAAAAAGGAGCCATCACCAGCAGGGGCAGCAGCTTGAGTGGCAGCCTCTGTAGTTTGTTGGAGAGTCAGGAGACCTCCTTGAGGGGCAGCTACAACAGCTTACAAGACTGTAGTGATGGACTGGATGGAATATCTGTGGGAAGTTACCTGGACACTTTGGTGGATGATATCCCTGGCCAGCATACTCCTTCAGATGTGGACCAGTTCAGTGACTCTTCTCTTATAGATGACTCACAGCCACTACATAAACATCCCAAGATTGAATCCAATGAGTACTACTGTTTTGGTTAATAAAATGAAGTTCTAGGAGAGAGACTTGTGCACTTGTATTTATGATTCCTCTATGCTGCTATTTGATGTAAGCATTTTAAAGCACCTTTATAAAAGACAATGTACTTTAAATTTGCTCTACTCTGTCGGTTGCTGCTCCTAGATCTTTTTTTTTTCCCCTCTCTTCCTGGATGGCTGCCCTCTTTTTGTTATTTTAATTTATTGTTGTGATTCCTTTCTCCTCTTCTATAATATCCCATTTGACCTTTTTTTTTTTTTTTTTTTACAAAAATAAAGGGGAAGGAAATTTATCTGCAATCCTAAGTGCATGAATGAACTTTTACTTAATTCTGCATCTTGCAGACAATAAAACACTTCCATTATCTGTAGATTGGAGTTAAAGTGTTGGCTGATGATAATTTCAGGTGTGATTATTATTTAAATCATTTTCATTTTGGGCGTTCAACCAAAAGAAGCTTCCAGAGTGTCTTACAGAGATTAATAATGCAACTTTCCTCCTCATAAGCTTACAGTGTAACACCATGACATGAAAGGAAAACAGATTTGGGAGTGAGGAATGGCTATAATTAAAAATATAAAACTTTTCATAGCTCAGCTGGGAGTTGTCAAGGAAAATATTTCAATGATAATGATAGGAAAATTTTGATGTTTGGAAACTTCAGTGGGTTCATAAGTACTGATGCCGGACTAGTTAAAGGGGTAGAAGCATTGTTGAAAATGTTCTACTGCTTTTTTTGTTTCTGTTTGTTTGTTTCTGGACACAATTAAAGGATTGGTTATGGCCTATAAACCAGGCTTTAGAATTCTCTGCCAAGAAAGGTCATGCTTCTTCCTTCTCTGTTAGCCTTCTATGACAAAGGAATTCTGATTTAAGGTAGCTTTGATGGCATATTGTTTGTTGTGTTTTAAGTTACAAGGGTAAGATTGGATTTGTCCTGTTCATGGCTAGTCACATTTGAGTGGAAGGGTAGGTTTTAGTTTAGTAACAAGATAGATAGATTCTGAATACTGTATATACTTGTGTATAAGCCAAGAATTTTAGGTGCCAAAATACCCCCCAAAAATTATGTTCAGCATGGGTGGGCTTATCCTTCAGTTTATATAGGTAGTCCTCGACTTATTACCACAATTGGGACCAGAACTTCTGTTGCTAAACGATGCGGTCATTAAGTGAGTTGTGCCTGATTTTACAAACTTTTTGCTGCACTCATTAAGCAAATCATGCAGTCATTAAGCGAATCCGGCTTCCCCCATTGACTTGGCTTATCAGAAGCCCTCTGGGAAGGTTGCAAATGGTGATCATGTGACCCCAGGACACTGCAACCATCATAAATACATGCCACTTGCCAAGCACCTGAATTTTGATCATGTGACTGCAAGGATGCTGCAACAGTCATAAGTGCAAGGACTGGTCATAAGTCACTTTCAGCATCATCGTAATTTTGAACAGTTGTTAAACAAATGGTTGTAAGTCAAGGACTACCTGTATATGGTAATACTTTTTAAAATTACCCATGTATCCCATATATACTCACGTATAATCCCATCTGTGGATAAGCCAACCCTCAAATTTTTAACCAAAATACCATGAAAAATAAGCCAATTGTGAAAATTAAAACATTAAAAATATGTTTTTTGACACATTTTTCATGGTTTTTTGGTTAAAAATCCGAGGATCGGCTTATCCACAGACAGGCTTATACATGAGTATATATGGTATGTGTCCATCGTTTAGCTAACTTGTCAAAAGTGGAGCAAATAAAATAATTGTGGAGTCTACTTTTATTATGGCTTTTTCTGGAGCAAGGAACAGAATAGTTGGCATTCTCAACCAGCCATTAATCCCAAAGCATGACTTGCTCTTTTTTTTGTCTTGAGCTTCGCAGGGCAGGACATTTTTATGCATTCACTTTTACTGATTGCCCATTCCTTCTACTTTTTGGTCTTTCAGGAACAGATATCATATATGTTTGTTGGCCTTAAGTATTCTTAGTAATACTTACAGCCACAGATAAATACAATACAAATAATTTATTGAAACAATTAATTAAAGGCAAAACCACATTTATTCTCTGTTTTATATTCTATGCAAAGCTTTACTAATATCCCCAGATACAGATTATCAGTACAAACAATACTGACTTTTGTTTGCACAAGTTCAGACTGCCATAGTATATTACATGTGCTGTCTGGAATCTAAGAATCAGACCCACTTACATCTCAAAAGAGTTTCTTACACGTCTCCCTCCTAGGAATTATGTATCCCAAGTTTTTGCCAGTATATTCTATGCAGCAAGCGCCAGGAAAAGCTTCTGACATAGCACTCGGAAGCCCCCTTCATATTATGCAACACCAGAGTAAGAAGAAAACTATTCTCCTTTCTCCTTGTGATCATGACGAATAATATTTGGGTGCTTAGTCCAGCAAATGCCAAAATGTCAGCAGGCTCCAGCACTCAGCTGAAGGGACCCACTGTTTGCAGAGAGAAGAAAAGGCCTCCAGACTTAATCCACGGAGCTGAACTGCATGCAACTGAAAACTGCAGCCTGGTAGAGGCAAAAATAATATAAGCCACATCAATGTTATGCCAAAGCAGATAGAAGCCATAAGGTACCTAATAAACTACCATCTCTCACAAACTCAATCTTATGGTCATCTTCCTGACTGGGAATGTTATCTTGGGGGGATTCAGGAGTCGCCAAGAATTCTTTGGTTAAATTTTATGGGGTGCAAGTCTCTATTCAATGCACAGGCCATTTTCATTTGACTCCGTCTTTGGATTGGCAGACCTAAAGTCTAAATGTTCAGAAATGAATAGTCTATTGAAAATATATCTCCTAAAACATCCTCAACTAAGCTAAAAGTTTCATGGATATTAAAAGAGGGTTATCATTTGTATGGGTGTTTTGAGGAAAGGTAATCTTAGAGACCTGGCTACTAAGGCATTTGCTAATGCTAGTAATTTGCAAAAGATAATAGGGATCAGTGGAGACACACTATTTTGATTTAAACATTTTACTGTTGGCTATTTACCTAGAATGTTTGGTTGGCTCTCCCTATCTCTTTGTCTCTGCTTCCCTCCCTCGCCTTGTCATTTAAGTAGTGTCTAAGCTTAGCGGCTGAATTTGCCTTTGTTTTCCTAGATTATATATTCCCAGGCCTTTGACCATATCTGTCCACCTATATGCATAGTGTCTGTTTGTGTGACAAAAAGGGAGACAGAAACGAACACCTTCTTCTGAAAGATGCCCAGACAGTACAGAACTGAAACTTGATTTCCTTATGATGGGATAGATATTGTCAGAAAATACTTATTGTATCTCTCCTGCCCTTTGTTTGTCCTGAAAGCATTTGTTCTACAGAAGCAATGAGAGGCAAGCAGCGTGCATCTAAGTATAGATTTTTGCATCAGAATTTATTTACATTTTATATTATGTAAATATATGAGCTTGGCACAAGATTCGTTCCATTTTATCATCATAATAAATTAGGAACATAGGATATTGTCTTACTGATTTTTCTAGCCTAGTATTATTTGTGCTGACCACACTGAATGTCCATTGTCTCAGAGATGGTTGATGTCTCAGGGATCTAAGATATTTTGTGTGCAAACTACGTACTCACCATGGAGTTCTTAGGCTAAGCAAAAATAACTGGCCCAGGTTTATTTAGGAAGCCTGATTCAAATATGAGTTGAGTTTCCCAGGTACTTTGCCATTCTGAATTTATTCTTTTTATGTTACTCCTGGAGATCTGCTGATTGCTAGTTTGTACTCAGTCAAGAGTTCCTCCAGTATGTAATCCTTGGTGTAACGTGATATTCATCTATTACATTAAAAAAATATATCAGTTAAAATTTTGCTGGGGAAAATAAAGTTTATAGAGCAGGAATGTGCAATTTTTTCTAGATTAAGCATCACATTTGGCCACTCTGCCATGGGCCACCCTCCAAAAACTAATGAGACAAAACTAACTTTGATTTCATTTCATTTATATTTGAATTAAATATAATCAATATTATTACATTTTTGTCCTTATCAAGTCTCACATAGCTGGCAAACCAAGAAGTGAGAATCACATAGATTTCAGAAGGGTATCTTTAACGTTAGTTGGGGGAAATATATAATCTCCAGAAAAGCAAGAATAAATGCCTAGGCAGGCTTAGAATGAGCCAGTTAAGGCCAAATCTCTTTGAAACACTTTCTTCCCACAGCCTCCACATATGCCTGTGTTGTCTTCTCACTACTTTAACTATTCCTCCTGCTCCTCCTTCCCAATTGTCTCTCACAGTCCTCTATTTAATAATCTCCTCCCCCCCCATCACAGTACAATTTCATAAGCATTTTTACAGTCTCTAGGAGGTGGGTCAAAGGCTTTGAGCATCTATCGATGTTCCAAAATCTCTTATCAAAGAAAAATCAAATTAGGAAAAAAAAATCAAGGGAAACTTTTTCTGAAAAGCAGACTTGAATATATGCTGGCATTTATATTTTCAAAAGGATGAATAAGCATTGTCTTTTTACCCCAATAGTTTCATTAATCTAGATTTAACCTAATTAAGTCTAGCATCTACTGAATTCCATCATAAACCTGACATAAACCATCGGCCTCCTGGACTCTTTCTTTTTTAGTAATTGTTTTATATAGCTTTTAGGTTTTATGTAATTGTATTTTTATTGATTGTCTTAATGAGTTGTAAGCTGCCAAGAGTCCCCCATTAGGGGGAGATGGGCAGGGATAAATTTAATAAAGAAATAAATAAAAATAAAAATAAATATTTTCCATTCTTTGCCCATCCCTAAATAACAGGTTTTATTTTGTTTTTCCTTAATGTTCAATCTAAAGAGCCACCGAGGCACTAGAAGTGCTGAACTGATACCTGGATTTGGTAAAGGGCATGACTGAAAGCTACCAGCAAAAGCTCATAATGGTGTTACTGTTAATAGGTGATTTTTCTCCCTGGATGGAGTATTTGAAAGATCCTTGAGGAGACTAAAACTTCCCTTAAAGGCCATATGAATGTTCACTGAGCATTCTGATGTCCCATGTTGTTTAATTTTCACTATCTTCAGTTACAGTCTTTGGACAAAATGTCTGTATCTTAACCCTCTGAACTATTATTTTCTCATTTCTATCTTCTTATCTCCTAGATATACTCACAATTCATCATGCCATCAAAAGCATGATTTTGGGGCAAGTCTATAGCCCATTAAGAA